GTTAGCCTCGCGGCTAACTGACTGGGCGGCGCTGGGCAGGCGGCTGGCGAGGGAGCTCTTCCTCTGAGCGGTCCGCTCAGCTCCCTCGCACGCCGCAGAGTGAGGCTGGGAGCCGGAAGATGACGTCATCTTCCAGCTCCCAGCCTCACTTTGCGGCGCGCGAGGGAGCTGAGCAGACCGCTCAGGGGAAGAGCTCCCTCGCCTGCCCAGCCCAGCCGGCAACCACTGGACCACCAGGGAGGTAATGAACCCCCCTTCCCCCCAGCACTCCCAAAGGTAAGGAGGGGGGGGTAGCAAGTGAATGCGTATCTGTCAGTGAATGTATGTGTGTGTGTGTGTATTTAGAAGGCGGTTGAAGGGAGGGGGGGTTGGCGCGGGGGGGGCGCCTGAGTTTTGTCCTGCCTAGGGCAGCACAAAACCAGGATACACCACTGTGTGTGTGTTTGTCAGTATGAATCTATGTGTATATCTGTTTGTCAGTGTGTAACTGTGTGTGTGCCTGTGAATCTGTATCGGTGTGTGTGTTTGGCAATGTTTAGGAACATGTGTGAGTGATTATCTGTGTGTACATGTGTGTGAATGCGTAACTGTGTCTGTCTGTGTGTATGTGTGTGCCTGTATACATGTCTGGGAGAAAACTCCTGGTGTGGGGGACAGACAGAGAGGTTTGTAAAGGCACTCTTCATCATTCATTGCATTTTTTATATCTTACAGTTTCCTCAAGTATGAGGAATGATTGACTGATTCAAAATGGCCGTCTAGATAACACTAACTTCCAGAGAGTGATTATGGTGTTAAATGACAGGAGAGATGTTAGTAAATACAGACATTACCTTTCCTTCCATTTCTCCATGTGATACAAGCTAATACTGTTAACAGGAAGTAAATACAGACCAAGGGCAGCTTAAAGGACCACTATAGTGCCAGGAAAACATACTCGTTTTCCTGGCACTATAGTGCCCTGAGGGTGCCCCCACCCTCAGGGACCCCCTCCCGCCCGGCTCTGGAAGGAGGAAAGGGTTAAAAACGTACCTTTTTCCAGCCTGGCCAGAGCTCTGCCTCCTCCCTCCTCCTCTCTCCTCCCGGGCTGAATGCGACGCGCACGCAAGAGCGCGCGCAAGCATCCCGCAGTACATAGAAAGCATTTTACAATGTTTATGGACGCTGAAGTGTCAAAAGAAAGTCACGGATGCCTGGTGTCAGACAACAGCAGCCAGAGAAATAGGGCTTCTATTCGATAAAACATAGCAGTTTCTCTGAAACTGCTATGTTTATAAAAAAATGGGTTAACCCTAGAAGGACCTGGCACCCAGACCACTTCATTAAGCTGAAGTGGTCTGGGTGCCTAGAGTGGTCCTTTAATAATAAGATAATAATAGAGATCTGAAAGGAATAAAACAAACACCAATCAATGATTGTTAAAATGACTCTTAGTTTCCTTTCAATTCATTGTATACGTTCAAATTTGTTTTCACTGCAGTTCTATCAGGCTCTCTGTATAAATGAAGGATTCTGGGACTTGTTTATCAATATAAACCGAACACAATATTTCTCACCTTTCCTAACTGGTTCTTGTTTATTTTGTAACTCAGGTCAGATTTCCTGAGTATAAACAGATACATTTTTCTTGTCCGCAGGGTTCTGCACCAAACACATCTATTTCTTTTTGAGATGCACTCAAATAATCTGATGTGCATCTGGCTGATTGTATCTAGCATTTTCACAATAAACTTCCCTCTTCCATTCCTGCATTAGTTTAATTAATATTTCGGAGTCACTCACTTTTTTCAGACCCTTTTTTTCTGTTTCCAAAATCAGGACAGATATCCTGAGTATAAACAGACACATTTTTCTTGTCCGCAGGGTTTTGTACCAAACACAGCAATTGTGAGTTACGTGACTGCGGCTGCAGAGAGATCCGGACTGTGCGCCCATTATTATACACTGTGTGATTAAAGGGACAGTACTCAGTGTCTGTGTGTCTGCACTGCCAGCTGACGGACAGTGTGGAGGTGATTGTAGGAATGGAGCAATGGAGAGTAAAATTACACCAGTCGGTTGAGTTTATCTCCGGTTCTGTCTTTATCTCCAGGGCAGGAACAGGGTCTGTAATAATAAACAAACAGTTCAGTTTATAAAAACTTTAATTTAATATATACATATGGATAGTTGTACTGTGTGATATGTATAGAGCAGCGTTTCCCAAACCAGTCCTCAAGACCCACCAACAGTCCAAGTTTTGTCAGAATCTCCATTGGAATAAAACAGGAAAATACATAAATCCTGGATTGTTGGTGGTCCACGAGGACTGGTTTGAGAAACACTAATATAGAGCATTAAAGGAATGTTGTTACGGAGCCTGGAGGTCCCTGAATACATCTTAAGGGATTAAACCATTTATGAACAGTTTATACCTAAATAAGTGCAGACAGCAACTCTTCTCCAAGTCCCTGTATTTCATCCTCTGCCCATAAATCGGAAGGCTCAGACTCTGTCCCAGTGATTGACTGAGAGCATTAGCTGATGGTCTTAGCTTATCACTGGCCTATTATTGAGAAAGATGTGGAAGAAACTGCTTATCTGTCTCATGTATTTTTCCTCAATTGGAAGCCAGTGATAGGCTGAGAGTGTCCGCACACTGTCCGAGCATTCCCATGAGTCCAGGGAAAGAGGAGGAAGATGATTGGCCAAATGGACAGATGTTTAACCCCTTATGGTAAGAGAGCACCCAGGATCTTCAGGCACTATAAAAATATCCTTGAGATGAAGTTGTTGTGGTGTTCGGAGTGTTCCTTTATTGAAGAGTGTAAAAGCTGAGTGCAGAGTATGAATGCAGACTGTGGTGGAGAATGCAGCGTATGAATGTGTACATTAATAAAGAAAACTGAAAAATTCAGTTCAGCAAAATCAGTTTGTACAAAAAATAAACTATAGTTTGGGTAGTCCAATAGTGGTCCATGTGACGGATCACCTCCGAAAATGTAATTTCATGAAAATAATTTGCATGAAAGAAGAGCTAACCCTCTACTGCAGGTCCTATCACAGGAGAGCTAACAGAGGTCCCTGCTTAGTAACATCCAGCCTTTAGTGTTAGTAGTGGAGGCAGGGAGCAGAGCCCAGGAAAAAAGAGCTATCCCTCTATTGCAGGTCCTATCACAGGAGAGCTAACAGAGGTCCCTGCTTAGTAACATCCAGCATCTAGTATTAATAGTGGAGGCAGGGAGTAGAGCCCAGGAAAAAAGAGCTTACCCTCTACTGCAGGTCCTATCACAGGAGAGCTAACAGAGGTCCCTGCTTAATAACATCCAGCTTCTAGTGTTAGTAGTGGAGGCGGGGAGCAGAGCCCAGGATAGAAGCGGTTTGACAACTTAAAATGGGCAAGGAACTCCTGGCATCATAAACACTGCAGCAAATTGTAGTGGTTATGGTGCTTGGGGTGTTTCTTTAATCAATAAATTCTAAAAAATATACATTTATTAACAGAAAAATCCAAACAAATGAGGAATCATCCAACCCAAGGGTAAAAAAGTCTTCAGAAGATACCTGTATCAACACAGCAGTTCTCAGAGAAAGCAGAGGATGGTCAGGGTGAGAGGAAATCCTAACGTTTAATGCTACACACTGAGATCTAAACTTACAGTATGTTCTTACATCCATTTATTAATACAGATTATTGATATTTAATGACTGGATCTAACAGGTCAGTATTCACCCTAAAGTTCTGAGTTTCCTAAATAAATGGCCCTCATTGTGAATACGCACCATATACAGTGAGATTAAATGATAACTGATGTTTTACTCTGTTTGTAAGAATTATCGTCGCTGCGAATATCCCGCTGTCCTCTCTTCTCAGGTCTCGGATTAGTAATTCTGTTGTGTTGTTAGATGGTTCAAGGCGGTTGGTAAACTGACTCTCGTAGATCTTAGAATTATAATTACTGAAAAACAGAATTCTCAATGGTTTTCCATTGGTTTGAAATGTCCACACAATATCTTCTACAGGATGCGTCAGATATAAATCCTGGGACAGACGGACAGACTGATCTACAAGGCCGGACACCTGGACAGGGACATCTTGTGCTGCAGAGAAAATAAAGATAAAATGATCTGAACAATTCTATAAATTCCAAATATTTCCAAGTGATACATTTCATTTAACTGATATTTGTTACCTATTACCCTAATACACTGTATATATTGTTAACCCAACAATTATAACAAACTGTCAGGACCCTCTTTGTATCAAACTTCATGTACCCGGATAGATTTCTCCCAATCTCTAAAACAGACAATTTACACAATAAGACAATAAATTCTAAAAACAAATAAAATAGAAAAAATAAATAACTTGAGTTGAAAAACCTAAAACATATTCAACGTGTTTTGTTTATTATATTTAGCACCTTCCTCTGGGCAGGAGATCATGTCCGGTAAGTTATGAATGTACTGAACGGTTAGTAGAACCGGAATCACGGGTTATAGTGATTTTGTAATTATTTGCAGTTATTCCGTGTAGTTATTTATGGTGAATAATGCGTCACTCTCCCATTACTGGGTATGAAATGCACCTTTTAAAGATGGATTCAACCTTTCACCTCATTTTAAAGCAGCTCTGACACTTTTCGAGTTCACAAATTATAATTTTTTTAGAGTGTCTGCTGGTTGCTCTCAGCTCTCTGGCATTAGTAGTGGAGGCAGGGAGCAGCAGACCTGCGGTTAGAAGACAAGTTGTTAAAAAAAAATGGTTTAACACTTACAATGTGAGGGGCACCAGGACATTCCTGATACCATAACTACAACAGTGAGCTGAAGTAGATATAATGCTCGGAGGGTTTCTTTAATTTTCACAAATGCAATAACTAATAATAATGCAATAAAATGAGGGCAGTGTGCATTTCTTGTTTTTCGTTTTGCCATATAACTTATTTTTGGAGCAACATGTAAATTCACTGCCTGAGTTTGTCTTAAAGGGATAGTGTCACTAATATTAAATCTTTGTTTTGTTTTTGTACTTTGCTGAGTATAACAGCATGACTGAGACTTAAATGCATAATATTAAAATGCAGTGCAGTGCAGTGCCTCATTCTGGGGTTTATACCATTAACAGTGAATTAAAGTGAATTGAACATAAATTATTAAAGTGAATTAAACATAAATTATATAATTACATATAGTTCATGACAAGTTGGTAATGACTGCAGAAATATCACATCACATCATATCACTCTCTTTTCCATTTGAAATATAATTAACAGGAATAAATCCTATTTTATTTCCTGCATTAAAGGACCACTATAGTGCCAGGAAAACATACTCGTTTTCCTGGCACTATAGTGCCCTAAGGGTGCCCCCACCCTCAGGGACCCCCTCCCGCCCGGCTCTGGAAGGGGGAAAGGGGTAAAAACTTACCTTTTTCCAGCGCTGGGCGGAGAGCTCTCCTCCTCCTCTCCGCCTCCGTTACGCCCCGCTGGCTGAATGCGCACGCGCGGCAAGAGCTGCGCGCGCATTCAGCCGGTCTCATAGGAAAGCATTTACAATGCTTTCCTATGGACGCTGGCGTGCTCTCACTGTGATTTTCACAGTGAGAAGCACGCAAGCGCCTCTAGTGGCTGCCAATGAGACAGCCACTAGAGGATTAGGGGGAAGGCTTAACCCATTCATAATTATAGCAGTTTCTCTGAAACTGCTATAATTATGAAAAAATGGGTTAACCCTAGAAGGACCTGGCACCCAGACCACTTCATTAAGCTGAAGTGGTCTGGGTGCCTAGAGTGGTCCTTTAAATGTCATGGGATAATGTTTACTAGTAGCCGTCCTGCTTTCCCCAGGCCAGAGAATTGGAGTGAAGAACTGTGTCAGTCTGGCCCTTTAAACACTGCCTGTTAATTAAAGGGACACTATAGTCACCAGAACAACTCTAGCTTAATGAAGCAGGGGTTAGTATGTAGATAATGCCCCTGCAGCCTCACTACTCAATTCTCTGCCATTTAGGAGTTAAATCACTTTGTTTATGAACCCTAGTCACACCTCCCTGCATGTGACTTGCACGCATTGATAAACACTTCCTGTAAAGAGTCATCTAAAGTTTATCCTTCCTTTATTGCAAGTTCTGTTTCATTTAGATTTCCTTATCCCCTGCTATGTTAATAGCTTGCTAAACCCTGCAAGAGCCTCCTGTGTGTGATTAAAGTTCAATTTAGGGATTGAGATACAATTATTTAAGGTAAATTACATCTGTTTGAAAGTGAAACCAGTTTTTTTTTCTTTTTATGCAGCTTGTGTCAATCAGAGCCAGGGGAGGTGTGGCAAGGGCTGCATAAACAGAAACAAAGTGATTTAACTCCTAAATGGCAGTGAATTGAGCAGTGAGACCTGAGAAGCATGATCTATACACTAAAACTGCTCCATTAAGCTAATGTTGTTTAGGTGACTATAGTGTCCCTTTAAACCCAGGTTTAAAGCTGCAGTTATCTTCCCTGTGCACCCCCACAGCCCGGTGGAAATCCTGGCATGGACTCTCTTCCAGCTGCTGGATCAGCTCCCACCTTGCTCTCTGGATCCTCTGCCCCATAGATCCCTAACAGAACTTACAGGTCATAACATGCAGAGTAACTGCCCCTTCTTGGGGCTTTTACCTTCCTCAGGGAGGAGAAACCCAGCCTGCCGTGGTACGTCTTCTATCCCTCCCATCAGTCACTGTATCAGATCCTCTGTGCGTCCCAATATAGAGAGTTTACTGACCTGATCCCAGGAGGAATGCTGCCAGTAACATACAGGGGATCCATGCAGCTGGATGCAGCATAATGTCTGTAACAGGCTGGAGATACAGTAACTGCAATTAGAGATACACTGAGAAACCATCACAACCACAGGTGCTGGGTCTGGCCGTGTCTCTGTATGTGGCAGGATGGGGGACGCAGTTACGGAAGGTACTGTGCAGGATGTCAGTAACCAAAACTGACCAATATAAAACTCAAGGCACCTAAGAAAGTCTTATTACAAAGAAACATTGAATTGGCAAAAAATGCAGAATCTATTGGACCCTTAGCTCCATCCTCTCATCTCCCTCTTCCCAGAGAAAGAGACCAGATAGCAGATACAGTACAGCTGTACGTTCCCCTATAGTCCCTTTCTGACACATGAGATCTGTACAGCAATGCTCACATAGACACAGTTAATGAGAAGCACTAACACAGTGAATGAAAACCCTGTACATTTATAATCTTTATAGAGGAAAATCCCGCTTCCTTGAGAGATCCTGGAGATCTGAAATAAAAGGACAGTTTTACTTTTGGAATTTCTAATTTATTGTAAAGGCATGATCTACGTGTGGTTGAGAAAGAGAGGGGCAAGGCGGTGGGAATTCTTTCCTTAGCTTTTCAATCTTGTCAGTAAAGTAGCACGCAAAGCTATTGGCTGTAGGGTTGGTTTGGGTGGTGGCCACATCAGGTCAATGAAGGCAGTTAAAGGTATTAAAAAGATGCCTGGTATTTGCTCAAGTGATACATTTAATTTAACTGATATATGTTACCTATTACCCTAATACACTGGATATATTGTAACCCCAACAATTATAACAAACTGTCAGGACCCTCTTTGTGTCAAACTCCCTGTACCCGGATAGATTTCTCCCAATCTCTAAAACAGACAATTTACACAATAAGACAATAAATTCTAAAAACAAATAAAATAGAAGAAATAAATAACTTGTGTTGTAAAACCTAAAACATATTCAACGTATTTTGTCCGTTATATAGCACCTTCCTCTGGGCAGGAGATCATGTCCGGTAAGTTATGAATGTACTGAACGGTTAGTAGATCCGGAATCGCTGGTTATAGTGATTTTGTAATTATTTGCAGTTATTCTGTGTAGTTATTTATGGTGAATAATGCGTCACTCTCCCATTACTGGGTATGAAATGCACCTTTTAAAGATGGATTCAACCTTTCACCTCATTTTAAAGCAGCTCTGTCACTTTTCGAGTTCACAAATTATAATGTCTGCTGATTGCTCTCAGCTCTCTGGCATTAGTACTGGAGGCAGGGAGCAGCAGACCCGCGGTTAGAAGACAAGTTGTTAAAAAAAAATGGTTTAACACTTACAATGTGAGGGGCACCAGGACATTCCTGATACCATAACTACAACAGGGAGCTGAAGTAGATATAATGCTCGGAGGGTTTCTTTAATTTTCACAAATGCAATAACTAATAATAATGCAATAAACTGAGGGCAGTGTGCATTTCTTGTTTTTCGTTTTGCCATATAATTATTTTTGAAGCAACATGTAAATTCACTGCCTGTGTTTGTCTTAAAGGGATAGTGTCACTAATATTAAATCTTTGTTTTGTTTTAGTACTTTGCTGAGTAAAACAGCATGACTGAGACTTAAATGCATAATATTAAAATGCAGTGCAGTGCAGTGCAGTGCCTCATTCTGAGGTTTATACCATTAACAGTGAATTAAAGTGAATTAAACATAAATTATATAATTACATATAGTTCATGACAAGTTGGTAATGACTGCAGAAATATCACATCACATCATATCACTCTCTTTTCCATTTGAAATATAATTAACAGGAATAAATCCTATTTTATTTCCTGCATTAAATGTCATGAGATAATGTTTACTAGTAGCCGTCCTGCTTTCCCCAGGCCAGAGAATTGGAGTGAAGAACTGTGTCAGTCTGGCCCTTTAAACACTGCCTGTTAATTAAAGGGACACTATAGTCACCAGAACAACTCTAGCTTAATGAAGCAGGGGTTAGTGTATAGATAATGCCCCTGCAGCCTCACTACTCAATTCTCTGCCATTTAGGAGTTAAATCACTTTGTTTATGAACCCTAGTCACACCTCCCTGCATGTGACTTGCATGCCTTGATAAACACTTCCTGTAAAGTTTATCCTTCCTTGCAAGTTCTGTTTCATTTAGATTTTCTTATCCCCTGCTATGTTAATAGGTTGTTAAACCCTGCAAGAGCCTCCTGTATGGGATTAAAGTTCAATTTAGGGATTGAGATACAATTATTTAAGGTAAATTACATCTGTTTGAAAGTGAAACCAGTTTTTCTTTTTATGCAGGTTGTGTCAATCAGAGCCAGGGGAGGTGTGGCAAGGGCTGCATAAATAGAAACAAAGTGATTTAACTCCTAAATGGCAGTGAATTGAGCAGTGAAACATGAGAAGCATGATCTATACACTAAAACTGCTCCATTAAGCTAATGTTGTTTAGGTGACTATAGTGTCCCTTTAAATCCAGGTAAGCTGCAGTTATCTTCCCTGTGCACCCCCACAGCCCGATGGAAATCCTGGCATGGACTCTCTTCCAGCTGCTGGATCAGCTCCCACCCTCCTCTCTGGATCCTCTGCCCCATAGATCCCTAACAGGACTTACAGGTCATAATATGCAGAGTAACTGCCCCTTCCTGGGGCTTTTACCTTCCTCAGGGAGGAGAAACCCAGCCTGCCAGGGTAAGTCTTCTATCCCTCCCATCAGTCACTGTATCAGATCCTCTGTCCCAATATAGAGAGTTTACTGACCTGATCCCAGGAGGAATGCTGCCAGTAAAATACAGGGGATCCATGCAGCTGGATGCAGCATAATGTCTGTAACAGATTGCAATTATAGATACACTGAGAAACCATCACAACCACAGGTGCTGGGTCTGGCCATGTCTCTGTATGTGGCAGGATGGGGGACGCAGTCACGGAAGGTGCTGTGCAGGATGTCAGTAACCAAAACTGACCAATATGAAACTCAAGGCGCCTAAGAAAGTCTTATTACAAAGAAACATTGAATTTGCAAAAAATGCAGAATCTATTGGACCCTTCGCTCCATCCTCTCATCTCCCTCTTCCCAGAGAAAGAGACCAGATAGCAGATACAGTACAGCTGTACGTTCCCCTATAGTCCCTTTCTGACACATGAGATCTGTACAGCAATGCTCACATAGACACAGTTAATGAGAAGCACTAACACAGTGAATGAAAACCCTGTACATTTATAATCTTTATAGAGGAAAATCCCGCTTCCTTGAGAGATCCTGGAGATCTGAAATAAAAGGACAGTTTTACTTTTGGAATTTCTAATTTATTGTAAAGGCATGATCTACGTGTGGTTGAGAAAGAGAGGGGCAAGGCGGTGGGAATTCTTTCCTTAGCTTTTCAATCTTGTCAGTAAAGTAGCACGCAAAGCTATTGGCTGTAAGGTTGGTTTGGGTGGTGGCCACATCAGATCAATGAAGGGAGTTAAAGGTATTAAAAAGATGCCTGGTATTGCTGGGGCATGAGTCAATGAGGGAGGAAAAGTATGACTGTTTGGCAAGGGCAAGGGCTGTGCTGTATGAATTTGTAGTGGAGGAAGTCAGACTGGGTGCGTGACTTCCTCCAGCAGCGCTCAGTAGAACGGGAGCATCTCTGCAGGTTACATCTTGATTTAGTGTGCCACAGTTAGGGGCATGTTCTCCTCAAGGTGCATGTTTGGAGCGGGGCTGCAGCATCTAGGGCAGAGGTGAGGGTGGTGTTATATGAGGAGATAGCCAGTGAAGGACAGGAGAAAGCAGGGATAGATAGAAGTTTGGAATCAATATTAGCTGATAGCTGCTGGAGATCAATATAATTCAGATTCCTTTGAGGGGGTTTAGGATGAGGATGATGGGGTAGGGGGCTATTGAGAGCTTTTGAGAGCAAATGATAAGAGGTGGTGATCTGAGAGGGGAAACGGAGTGTTGCAGAGATTAAAGATTGTCCAATCATGAGAGAAAATAAGATCAAGGGTATTGCCAGTTACATGGATGGGGGCTTAGCCCACTGTGATAGCCCAAGGGAGGAGGTCATTGAAAATAGTTTTGAGGCTACTGATGACGAGGGTGGGTTAATGGGAATATTGAAGTCCCCAAGAATTAAGGATGGAAAATTAGAGGAGAGGAAGTAGTGAAGCAAAGCAGCAAAGTGGTTTTAGAAAGAGGAGAGGAGAGAACCAGGCGGATGATAGATAACAGCAATTTTAGCAGAGATGGGTTTGAAAATGTAAACACTCATTCCCAATGCTCCCACTCTGTACTGTATTCTTAAAATAATGGAGAGTCAATATATGATGTGCCCACACTGCCATCTTGTGGCTGATTGTGTTTATTATATTTTCATTACTTTATTGCATTTGTCTTCATTTCCTATTATTATTATTATTAGCATTTAAATAATTAAACGAACCTATGATGTAGCACTTTACCATATTCATAATGCTACATATACAATTCTATATTTTTTATATTGTTACATCAATGTATTATGTTTTTCCTTTGTTTATAATTAGATTACTGTGAGGCTTGTTTTACTGTCTACAAACTAACAATTCAACATCTCTGGCAATGATCTCATCATCACTGGATCCCACCATACCACCTCCACTACCAATCCAATACCTCACATATATATATGCCTGGATAAATCTCGGTCAGATTTCAATCATTAGGAATCTTAGTTAACTAAAGAATATATGGTTATAAAAATACCATTCCTGCAGGTGGAATAAAGATAACAATATATTAATGATAAATTTGTCAGATGTTAGCATGCCACATTTATACAGATGTGTTGATTTGCTCTGATATAAGATAGAGAATGTTATTTAAGGAAGTAAAATTCGGCTAATGTAAAATAGGGTAGATTATTCTTATTGGATGGTTCC